CGAGGAAACCCATGGAACCGAACCACCTCCTTTACAAATAGGGCAGCCACAGACTTAGCAGAAAAAGGATGGTGAAGACCCAAGAAATGAGCATACTTACTCAACCAGTCAACGATCACTAAAATGGAGTCATAACCTGCTGACTTTGGAAGGCCCTCCACAAAAGCCATGAAAATATCATCCCACACCTGATTAGAAAGTGGCAAGGGCTGCAATAACCCCCCGGGAGACAAAGTGGAAGCCTTGTGTTGTTGACAAACCTAACAAGCCACAACAAAAGAGACCACATCCTATTTCATGACATACCAAAAGAACTCCGAAGACAACCATTTAAACATCTTAAGGACTCTAGAATGACCTCCAACTTTGTTGCCATGAAACTCTTTCAATAGGACAGGTATGAAAGGAGATTGCCGAGACAGGACAACACAATCCTTGTAAAGCAACATGTCATTGCACAAGGAGGTCCCGTTGAATTTGTTGACAAATTTCAATCCCATCATATATCGAGGACGTGGTAAGGTGCACCAACTCCAAACCAGAGGGTTGCCTTGACAAAGCATCAGCCACCCGATTCTCAAAACTGGGTTTGTACTGGATCTCAAAATCATAACCCAACAATTTGCATAACCACTTCTGGTGGTCCTCACTGACTAACCGCTACTCTAACAAGAACTTAAGGCTCCTCTGGTCCATGCGAACAATGAAATGTCGCCCGAGTAAATAATGGCGCCATTTCTGAATGGCGAGGACCACAGCCATCAACTTGTGCTCATAAACAGATTTTGCACGGGCCCTAGAAGACAACACCTGACTGAAATAGGCTATGGGCCTCTGGTGGCATCAAGACCACGCCAATACCAAACCCCAAAGCATCAAATTCGACTACGAATGGCTGGGAAAAATCCGACAGTGCGAGAACTAGGACAGTAGTCATGGCGTGCTTCAATTTTTGAAAGGCCGTTTCAGTATTCACAGTCCAATGAAAGCTGTCCTTTAATTGTTGTGTCAATGGCCAAGAAAGATGTCCATACCCCGCAACAAAACGCTGATAATAACCGGTCAAACCAAAAAAACCGCACAACTCCTTGATAGAATGAGGAGTCGGCCAATCCAACATTGCTTGAATCTTACTGGCATCAGCGAAAACTCCATCCCGAGACACAATGTGACCCAAATATTCCAACTAGCTACTAGCGAAAGTGTACTTCTTTTGATTAACATATAAATGGTTGTTCTCTAAAGCAGCCAAAACCATATCCATATGGTTGACATGTTCATCAAAAGACTTACTGAAAACCAAGATGTCATCAAAGAATACTGACACAAATTTCCTCAAGAAGGGCTTCAATACCTCATTCATCAAAGATTGGAAAGTGGCCGGGGCATTGGTCAAGCCAAAGGGCATAACCAGAAATTCGTAATGACCCTCATGAGTACGGAAAGTAGTTTTCGGAATATCCTCCTTGCACATCCGAATTTGGTGGTAACCAGATTTCAAATCCAATTTAGTAAAGATGGTTGCACCACTCAATTCGTCCAAGAGCTCCTCTATTACTGGAATGGGAAACTTGTCTGGAACGGTAGCTTGTTGAGCGCACGATAATTAACACAGAAGCGCCAACTGCCATCTTTTTTTTTTTTTACTAGAAGAACAGGACTAGAAAACGGGCTACTGCTTGGTTGAATGATCCCAGCCACTAGCATCTCTCGCACCAACTTTTCAATCTCATTCTTTTAGAAATGAGGATACTTGTAAGGCCTGATGCTAATAGGAGCGATACCCTCCTGAAGAATAATGCAATGATCTCGCATTCGTTAGGGAGGTAATCTGTCCGGCATATGTAAAACCCCAGAATGACGCTGCAAGACTTCACGGATCTGCTCTTGAAATTGCTGATATGGTTCCTTGTTAGCATCCAAAGCACACAATTCTAAATAAATGCCATGGCCCTCATGCTTTATAGTTCGAACCATGGCCTTAAGAGAAACCATAGTGGTGGAAAGGCTCATGTCTCCCTTCAAAATAACCGCCTCTCCCCTCACCTTGAATTTCATCACTTGGGACTTCCAATTCACATGCATTCCCCCCAACGTTTCCAACTATTGCATGCCTAGAATAACATCCACTCCTCCCAATTCCAGAGGCAAAAAGTTTTCCACAATAGTTAAGTGAGATAAATTCAATGCCACCTCCCTACAAATTCCTTTTCCCCTAACTGATTCTCCCGTTCCTACTTGCACTCCAAAACCGGCAGTGAGAGCAATCGAAATCGACAACCTCTCCACAAGACTCAAAGAAATGAAATTGTGTGTTGCACCGGAATCAATTAGAACAATTACCTCCTGCCGAGCAATCGTGCCGCAAAGCTTCATAGTCTTTGGTGTCGAAAGTCCCACCACCGAATTCAAGGATAACTCAATGAGTTCAGGCTGCCCCTCCTCCCATTCAGTACTCGGCAGATCAAGGGCTTCCTCCTCACAATCAGTTGCGTCCTCATCGCTAAAAAGCATTATTCTAAGCTCCTTACATCGATGTCCCAAGGTAAACTTCTTATTGCACCGAAAACACAACCCCTTATCCTTCTTCTCTTGTAACTCAGAGTCCGACAACTAACGAAATGGAAAATCTTGCTTTTGGGTTGCTGTTTTCTCTAAAGTAGCAGGAACTCGCAGTGGTCGCTCTACCATCGGCAACGATCGAGCCAGAATTGGTGAAAATTCAGCTCTCGGAACACTATGATATTGTGGTCTCGAAAACCTGGTTTCCAACACCTCCCGACGAAGCAACACATTCTTCTCTTCGATCCCTTGAGCTATCTCCGGCACATCAAGAGCCGCAATTCAGCCCGGACCTGTGCCTTTAACCCATTAACAAAAATCCCTTCTAAAACCTCTTCTGGCACATCTTAAAGTGGGGCTGCTGAAACTTCAAATTGCCTGCGATATTCAGCCACCGTTCCTTCTTATCATATCGCCAAAAACCTCTCACAAAGATTCCCCTCCTGCGAAGAGAGAAAACGCTGCAACAATGACATCTTAAATTCTGCCTAACTATGGAAAGGTCTGCGGCCATTCTGCCATTGGAACCAAGACAAGGCATCTCCCTCCAAAGCTATTCCAGAGGTGATCAATTTTTCCCTTTCCAAGCAGCGATTGATGGAGAAAAATTGCTCTATACGAAACACCCAGTCATCAGGGTCATCACCGCTAAAGATTGGGCACTCCACATGCCGCCGTCAGAAAGCCGCCCATTCTTCATTCATCGGTAATTCCTCCAAAACGCCTCTGCCCTCCTAACCATCTCTGAACCGTACACCAACGTTAGGGTTTCTTCCTCTTTCCACTCCTCGGTGAACAGGACCACCCAATCTAGCCCGCCGCTCGTCAAACTTCGGAGCCTCCCCTTCCACAAAAACACCTCGCCCATCACCCCGATGTCCGTACCAATTTTTCCCTTGGGTACCCATCAGAACCTCCCTAGCAAACCCGCGCATCTCCTCTCTCTCTTCGCGACATGGATTCCGCGGAATCCTAAGATCTGTTGCTCGATCTACGCCCTGCTCGGGCAAACCGGTGCCTTCCGCTGGAAACCACATTGTGCGAAACCCTAGGGTCCGCCGACCGTTCTTCCTGCCGCGCGCGCCACCTAGAAGTTTCCGCCAGGTGCGATTCCACAACTCCGGCACAATTCGCCTCGCGATCTTCTTCGACCGCGGTCGTCGGAGCTCCTGTGTTCTCTGGCACCGACGCCGGTGCCGAGAAAAACTTCATCTATTCTTCCATCAATCGGCGGATCTCAGTCAAATTCCGCCCTATTCTGAGTTAGTTCCGCCCTAACCTCCCCGATCCCTTTCTCCATCTCACCGATTCCCTTTTCCATCGAAACCCTAACTTCCTTAATCTCCTTCTCCACAGATTCAAGCCGTTCATCTGTTTTCCTACCCGCCATTATTGCCCAGAATTAACGCTCTGATACCAAAATGATAAGGACAGAGTATTTACTTCAACATAAATGAATCAAGAAGAATGAAAATGTGATCTTTATTGAATATCGAAAATGAATTACAGAGCAATCCTTCGAGGTACTACGAAACCTCCCCTGCTTAGCCTAAACCAAGCCTTTCTCAACAAGGCTCCAGTACTTTCCTGTCTTTCTATTTCCTGCTTCATCCCTATTTATTCTCTTTCCC